TTCCCATATCACTGTGATAATGAAATCTCTCCCAGATTTTCAACTCGTTTCATGTTTGAACACAAATTAGCACGTCTCACTATTTTCTTCGCAGCACCATGAGCAAGAAGCAAATCCACTTACCACATCCAGAAAATGTACTTTTCATTTCTCTGCAGAAAAACTACTGTTTTGCAAAAATAAGAGAACATATGTCCGCTTATTCAGGTTACAAAAGCTGTAGGGCATTTAAGATACAAACATCAATCCCTAAGATACTCTGCAGTCCTTTATGCAGATAAATTCCTGGAAGACAGACTAATTTCACCCTTTCTTTAGGACCTGAAAGCTACTAAAGTAATAATATTTTGTTGTGTATTTTTTTTATTACTGAGAGAAAATATTTTACTTTTGATAGGTGTGTAATAATCATTAAACTTATCTAGAGCAAATGTAGAATATGAACATGGCACATATACATAGTACTGTGCCAGTAGAGATCAGAAGCAAGTTTAAATGGATTTGATATCTCAGTCTTTTCTGGTAAGGCATCTGGAGAAGAATAAAATAATTTAGGTTGGAAGGGACTCCTGGAAGCCATCCAGTTCAATTCCCTGCTCAAAGCAGGTCCAGCTAGATCATGTTGCTCTGCTGTGCTGGGATTTCTTCACTGGACACAGCATTCCACATGTGGTCTCACCAGTGCTGAGTCGAGGGGAAGTATCACTTCCCCTGACTTGCGGGCAAGAATCTTGCTAATAAGCTCAGGATGCCATTGGCTGCCTTTGCCGCGAGGGCACATTGCTGGCTTATGCTAAACTTGTTTTCCACAAAGAGATCAAGATCTTTTTCAGCAAAGCTGCTTCCCAGTCAGTCAGCTCCAGCCTGTACTGGTGCCTGGGGTTATTCCTCCCCAGGGGCAGGACTTCCCATTTTCCTCTGGTGAACTGTATGAGATTCTAGTCAATCCATTTCTCCAGCCTGACAAAATTCCTCTGAATAGCAGCTCTATCCTCCTGCATATCAATTGTCTTTTTTAACCAAGGACTTGTTGTAGAGAATTTGAGCATCTTTGTTGCATATTTAAGGTGGGTACCCTTCTAAGGGCCATATTCTGACAGATTGTTTACAGAAATATTTACACACATCTCAGTAGGAACATTTGTAGGGTAAAAAAGATTATAGCTTCAAAGTTATTTGGGCACTGAATTGCTGCTAGTTTCAATGGGAAGCACCAAAATAACTTAGATGTTCTAGACCTAAGGCATTATTCAACATAAAATTAAGTCTTTGAAATCTGGGCCCAGAACTCATTTGCTGATATCTATTACTCTGCCAGAAAAAAGGTGGAAAGTGGCACTTGCAAATTATATACTATTTTGGTCTTGTGCATAAGTTACTTCCTCATGAATCTTTGTCAAAACGAGAATAATTTCAAAATTGCAGTGTGCCTGACTCATTCAGGGAGGGTATGGAAAATAAATTACTCATGTGAAATTTCTTACCAGTGCCCATCTTATTCCTTGACCAAAATGAAGAGACACACAGCACAGTGAAGATCCTCCCGGTGCTTTACAGGAGGGCCTGTAAGTAACGCTTTAGGGTTAATATCAGGGAACTGTGGATAGTAATCACGGACTGAGTTAGGTGTTCTAAGGCAAAAGGACTTGCTTTAAGTTAATTGTTGTCACCTTACTGATTGAAGGGTCTATTCCTAAAGCTCATGAAACAGTTCAGTCCTAACCTCTCCCAAAACTATGTATAGTGATAATATGTGTAGGAGAAGGGACTATGTAACCTCTCATGTTCCCTTCCATTACTCATATTGAAATTGTCTGTGTTTTGTAGAGTCATTTTTGTCAATAGGTAAACCTCCACTTGGGTTTCCCAAACTGTGGCTCCATTCCTGCCTGCACTTTAAGAGAAGAATATGTCTGTGGGTCTGCTGTGTCAGAGCTTCCAAATGTAATGTGGCTCATAGCGGTATAAATGAGAACATTTGATTTCTTGTTCCATGTTCCTTCCACAGCTGTCCATTTTCTATGGCTGCCCACGACACATTTTCTGTGTCCTGCTCTGAGTGCCCAGCTCAGTCAAATATAACCTGTGCTTGCATTAGAGAAACATAGGGAGAGGTTCATCTCACCTGACTTTGGATAGCTCTGAGTAATGCAGACTCTTTTCATAGTCGAGATAGAGAAAAAGCTCTCATAGGATGCAATCCATCTCACGCAAGGGTGGACTTCTAAACCAGGTCTGAAGTATGGCTCGGGGTTGCTGCCCTTTTGTCCTCGTTGACATAAAGACAGATAGCTCAGACATTACGCTATAGACATCTGATATGAGATGACATTTCACTAATTTGTGACATCCTAAAGACTTGACAATATCTTGCAGTGCTCAGAATTTTCCAGAGCCATGTATTTTAAATACATGAAGAGAAAGAGATCTTGGTCAGTTGTTATTTTTGTTTGTTTGTTTTTGCGTGTGTATAAGTTGTTTTATTTGCATTGCTGTGTTGTTTAGTATTTCAAGTTCCTATGTGCACATATTTGATCAGATGCTTTAGTTTTTTGTGTTTAGTACCATTTGCTCTCCTTTTCCCTGCAGTTAAAAGCAAACAACGTGAACATGAGAAATGACCGGGGTCTCAGCAAAGCCCTGGGAGTAGTTACAGTTACATTGCTGGATTTTTGATTGGGCTTTGATTTCTTTGCTGAATATCCTGCATTGACCAAAGGAAATAATGTGGGACTCCTGCATGCATTTTTGCCTCTTATTAAACCATAGTTCAGCATTGTATTTTTTGATGGTATCCAAAAAAGGGAAGTAATTCTCTTGCATTTCAGTGTAACTGATCCAAGCTAGGAGAGAAGGCTGCTGAAACTGCCAAAAAAGGAAATATTTGGTTTTATATTCTTATTGTGTGCTTTTGCTTCCTTAATTTCTGTATAAAATCCAAACAGGATTTATGAGGCAAAGATCACTGTGTAGCTGAAGCTTTAGCATCAATGGAATAGAAGTTTCCCATTTAACCTAATGTCTCTCTTAATAAGGTTTTATTTTTATGTATCAGGATCCTGTGCACTGCATGGGGCAAAGGGCCTGCAAAAGTGGCATGCTCCTCCTGAGATCAGCTCAAACAACAGTGCTGCACAGAGAAAAGTTGTGTCAGACTTTGTGTGAGGGTGGTACCAATGAGTCCCGACTCAAGGGGTCTTATAGTCCCCGGGCTTTGCCTGAGTTAGGTCTGTGTCAAAGTAGAAAGTAGACTTAAAGATCTGACTCTGTTTGCCATGCTTTGCCAAATCAGCTGTGTCTCTAATAAAAAAGCTAACTATTTAGTAAATCCCATTCTTTTTCTCACTTTAAGTTTTTAGGAGACATCTGCTTTTTCCACTGTTTTGAAAATTGGCAAAGAGTTTGCATGGGTGGCTAATCCGTATACTAGAAATGTAGGCTTGGTGATCACCTCTGAGCAAGCAGTAACTTGGGTAGATAAGGTTTCAGAAATACTGATTGCAAATATAAGGAGTCTCAGCCTGTCACAGTTGGACTAGCTGATTGTTGCAGGTCCATTCCAGCTGAACTTATTCTATTCTATTCTGTTCTGTTCTGTTCTATCTAACTGTAGCAAGCCATCATCGGGTACAGGGTGAGCAAGGGACTAGGACAGGACCAAACTGGTAGTGAAAGTGGCCACAATTTCTTGGACAATGAACATGAGGGAGTCTCCATAGCAAGCAGGGAAGAAATCATACACAGTGTGAATATGTACTGTATAAAAATGACATAGCTCTAGCACAGGGCTCATGCCTGAGCTGGAGAGGCATTTTCAAGGGACTCTTGATGCTCTGTACTTACCCTCTGCTTACATAAAAACTGTAGCCAGTGTCTGAAATATCACAAGCAGGATCTTAAAAACTCTTTACAGTTTTCCTCTTTTATTTTAAAATGAAACTAGAAATATACCTCTTAATGACATTGCATTTTCAGTACATCACGAGCCTTAAGAAGTAGGGCCCAGACTCCTTGCTGGGGAGGCTCCTTTTGAGAATTTGTTCTCATATTACTCCTGCCAGCATGCCGTATGGTAGCTGAATATCACACTTCCAGATCTGAGTAACTATTTCCTAGAGAGGGAAGCAAAGGCATAGAGAGGTTCTCCTTGGACCCTACAGAAAAATCAGGTTCAAAGGTAGGGCTGGAGCGCAGGAGCTCAGCGCACAGCTCCCCTCCGTGGCGTACATCACAAGAAACTACGGTGCAAAGAAATTGGCACTTAAGAGCCAGAAACTACTTTCCAAGAATAAGTCTTCCCTTATGCTACATAAATAACAGTAGCAGCCCCCACATTAGTTCATGTTACAGGACTGAATAAAAAATGCTTTGCTTCAGACTGCAATTGAAATGCAGGCTTTGTTCTTGTCAGCCTCCTGTTGGAATTCATATCTGCACCTAACAGCTTCCGGAGAGCTTCTGTGATTTATGTTTTCAAGAGGAATCATTCCAGAAAGCTTTCAAGGTTTACTATTTCTTTAAGCACTGAATTAACCTCTTTAGTCAAGCCAAAGATTTAGTTCTACCTCTGAGCCTGAGTGTTATTTTCCCTCCCCAAGCATTCACAGCTGTTTAAGCACCTGCTGATACAAGAATTTTCAGCCTCCACTTTTTTTTTTAGGTTTAGAGTTTTCATCCTTTGCGTGATTCTCCTGTGCTGAATATCCACTTCTGCTACTGATGTCTTATGGGGGAAAATGGAGGTGTCAGACAAGCCACAATGATGCACGCTGTGAGCCTGACCTGAGCTCAGAGACAGGCTCTGCAGGGGACGAATCCCAACCTGCAGCGATCATGCAGAGACGCCTGAGCATCCATGCCACAGGCTCCAAAAATCAGTGGCTCCTTACAATGCCTTTCCTGCCTTAAAACTCTGGGTTCATGCAGGTTAGGGACAAACCTGCCATGTACGTGCTGAGTAGTGCAGTGTAACATGCACTCAATTTGCAAATGCACTCATGTAACAGCACTCAATTTGCCCAGTAAAGGACACTTTTGATTACTTTCAAATTCTGTCCATATTGTGCAAGTCTCCAGGCTCCTGGTCTAGAAGTACAGCTTTTGTTAAGGGTAAGGCTTCATTCTTGACTCTGTCTCCACTTCTTAGATGCAGTCTTGCCAAACCCCCAGTCACATATGGCAGCCATTTACTGAATGCTTGTAAACATTAAGAGGAATACACTATACGCACACATACAAACACACAGAACCATGCAGAAAGTGTACTTGAGAACAGCTGTGAAATCAGTGCTGCAAAGGAAAACTCAAAATGTGTTATTTTCTCATATGAAAGTTTTTGCAGAATGTGACATAAAGGCTAGCTTTTTATCATTTGATTTTTAATGGCTTCTTAAATCAAGAACACAACTCCAGATCTGTTCACTGTACAGGGCAATTTTTCTTAGATCTACCAAGAAAATGTTGCGGCATGTACTGTTTAAGGATCCAACCTAGGAAGTTCAGGATTTGCTGGCAGGGTTTGCTGGCTGTTAGGTCTGGTTCTGCTTGACTCCAGAATGATGAACCTCTCCTTTCTAATTATGTTGCCTAAAGATGCCTCCTTAATTTCCCGTTTGGTAGGAAAAGGGCAAAGTAGACTGGCCATGGAAGCAAAGGATAGCTCTGCTCACGGCAAAGCTGGAGCCCAGTGGCTTGCGTGCTACCTCTCCTCCCCATTTTGCTTGCACCACTGTCCCAAACACATGGCGACTTCTACCTGCAGCTCCCTGAATGCGTCGGGGATGTTAATTAACTGATTTGGCTCCTGTGAAGTTGCTGCTAATTGCTGTTATGCTCCCGTTACAGCTGAGTTCACTGAGGCCCTGGAGGGAAGCAATTTCCTCAGCCTTCCCAAACAGAGCGAGAGGGCCTGGGATTGAGCCCACCTTGAGAGCTATTGCCCACCGTAAACTCCTGCTGAAGCCATTAAGTGCTGGAAACACTCAGCATCTTTCAGGATAGCCCTCAGCAGTAGAAAGGATCAGGCCCAAGTGAGGCCAAGGAAAAGCAGCACACGGAGCACAGCAGTTCAAGAAGGTCCCAGCTGGGGTCAGAAGACCGCTCCTATCACCCTCAACTCCTGCTGCATGCAAAGCTGATAATAGACATAATTGATAGCTAATTCCCTCAGCAAGTTTGCAGATGACACCAAGCTGAGTGGTGCAGCTGACATGCCAGAAGGACAGGATGTCATCCAGAGAGACCTGGACAAACTGTAGAGGTGGGCCTGTGTGAACCTCATGAGGTTCAACAAGGCCAAGTGCAAGGTCATGCACCTGGGTCGGGGT